CCACTGATCTGACCCTCCTCTGGCAGTCTGGTGAATTCTATGGACTGTTTCTCAGAACAGTGAGGGCTAGAGGCTGAATGAATGCTTTCTCATTCTTGTGCACTCATGAGAGCTGGTCATTTGTGAGCCAGCTGTTGTGTGGGGCAGCAGCTGCAGGGTGGGAAAGCTGAATGCCAGGCTCTTTTCTGAGGGGAGAATTAGAGCTGCTCCCTGACATGGCACTCAAGGTACCATTAGAGGGTCCCATGCAGCTGGGACACTAATGATGTAAGACTTGACCAAGCTCTGGTGGCTCTTTACCGAGAGGCTTGAATGTAACCAGTGTTAGAACAGAGCCACACACACCTTGGTCCCTGAGTGCAGACCATGAACATGCAGTGAAATCCACCGGGGCCCACACAGCTCTGCTTTCAAAGTATCCTGTTGTTAGTACTTTTTCAATAGTGTACTTAATGTTCTGTTGTGTCGTGTCAATGTATTTTTAAGACAGTAGGTTAGTAATGATCTTTGCATAACAAGCATTTTAACTATTTGCTGTATGTATCTGAATAAAATTCTATTTAAGTACAAATATACATTTGGGATACTTGTTAGATTAAGTAACATTTATTTTAAAGTCAATTCTTTGAATCAGTTTACTGTATCTCAGAAAATGAACTTAATGTTGTCCTATATTAGTGAAGATGAAGTAAAGTGAACTTTAATAATGCCTTGAGGCTAGATTGGGAGAAATAAAAAAGAAAATAAAAAAACTATATGTGTGTATACACACACACATAAATACACACATACACACACACATTCTTTTTTTGAGGGGGGCAGCATAGGTATTCTCCCTATAGTTTTGAAAGACAAATATTTAATGCCCTTATGTGCTTTGAACCTAGTGGTTCCAGTACGGTTTCTTCTTCTTCTTCTTCTTCTTTTTTTTTTTTTTGGTTTATGATGCTATAATGGTTTCCTAGAAAAAGAATTTTATGGTAGCTTTCTCAAAGGACAACACTTAGGGAAAAATTGACAGGAAAACTTTATTATTGTGTTTGACTTCTAAGTTGGAATGAGACTTTAACAAAAGAATGGTAAATTAAGGCTAGGAAGGAAAATAAAGGCTTCAGTTCCACAGCCCTTTTACAAAAGGGAAAAAAGAAGGCTTAAGGAGAGAGAGGAGTTGCCTTTGACAGTTGACAAAATTTGATTGGAAATATATGTTTTTAATACCACTCATCTGTCAGTTTGTCATACCGTGGTGGCTTGTGTGTTGCTGTGAGGCTGGAGGCTATGCCACTGGTATTTCAAATACCAGCAGGGTCACCCATGGTGGACAGATTTCAGCAGAGCTACCAGACTAAGACTCGGAAGAAGGAAGGGGCCATTCTCTTCTTGAAGAATTAATTGGCCAGTGAAAATCTTATGAATAGCAGTAAAACATTGTCTGATATATTACTGGAAAACTATGACTAGCCCTTAAACATTGCCTGATCCAATGCCAGAAAATGACCCTTTCAGCTCAGAAGGCACTCAGAAATAGCACTGGGGAAGAGCTGCTTCCTCAAGGTAGAGTCGACCTTAGTGATGTGAATGGAGTAAAACTTTTGGGACCTCCATTTGCTGATGTGGCACAACAATGGGAAGAAACAGCTGCAAACATCCGTTAATGATCGGAACATGGAATGTACAAAGTATGAATGTAGGAAAATTGGAAGTTGTCAGAAATGAAATGAAACACATAAAGGTCAATATCCTAGGCATTAGTGAGCTGAAATGGAATGGTTTTGGCCATTTTGAATCAGACAACGATAAGATTTACTATGCTGGGAATGACAGATTGAAGAGGAATGGTGTGGCAGTCATCGTCAAAAAAGTCTCAAGACCTATCCTGAAGTACAATGTTGTCAGTAATAGTATAATATTCAGTATAGTATAATATACTAGGAAGGTAAGTTAATACTACAGTTATTCAAAGTTATGCACCAACCAGCAGAGCCAAAGACGAGGAAATTGAAGAATTTTACCAACGTCTGTAGTCTGAAATTGAACAAACATGCAATCAGGATGTGTTGATTATTACTGGTGATTGGAATGCGAAAGTTCGAAATGAAGAATCACTGGTAGTTGGAAAATATGGCCTTGGTGATAAAAATGACGCTGCAGATCGCGTGACAGAATTTGGCAAAGACTAATGACTTATTCATGACAAATATCATTTTTCAACAGCGTAAACAGTGGCTATACATGTGGACTTTGCCAGATGGAATACACAGGAATCAGATCACCTACATCTGTGGAAAGAGGTGATGGAGAAGCTCAATATCTTCAGCCAGTGCAAGGCAGGGAGCTGACTGTGTAGCAGACCATCAACTACTCATACACAAGTTCAAGTTGAAGCTGAAGACAATTAAAACAAGTCCACAAGAAACAAAATGTGACCTTGATTATATCCCTCCTGAATTTAGAGATCATCTAAAGACTAGATTTGACATATTGATCATCAGTGACTGAAAACCAGATGAATTGTGGGATAACATCAAGAACATTATACGTGAAGAAAGCAAAAGGTCATTAAAACGACAGGAAAGGAAGAAAAGATCAAAATGGATGTCAGAAGAGACTCTGAAACTTGTTCTTGAGCAGAGAGTAGCTAAAGCAAATGGAAGAAATGACAAGATAAAAGAGCTGTGAACAGAAGGTTTCAAAGAGCAGCTTGAGAAGACAAAGTCAGTTATTAGAATGAAATGTGCAAAGACCTGGAGTTAGAAAACCAAAAGGGAAGAACATGCTTGGCATTTCTCAAGTTGAAAGAACTGAGGAAAAAATTCAAGGCTCAAGTTGCCATACTGAATGATTCTGTGGGCAAAATATTGAATGATGCAGGAAACATCAAAAGAAGGTGGAAGGAAAACACAGAGTCACTGTACTAAAAAGAACTGGTCAATGTTCATCTATAGGAGGTGGCATATGATCAAGAACCAATGGTATTGAAGGAAGAAGTTGAAGTTGCACTGAAGGAATTGGCAAAAAAACAAGAAATTGATGGAATACCCATTGTGATGTTTCAACTAACATACTGCACGCTAGAAGTACTCACTCATCTCTGCCAAGAAATTTGGAAGACTGCTACCTGGCCAACTAACTGGAAGAGAACCATATTTGTGCCCATTACAGAGAACGGTGTTCCTACAGAATGTGGAAATTATCAAACAATATTGAACAATATCACATGCAA